TCTCTCTCTCTCTCTTATTTAACTTTTCCCATTCTCCTTCGTCCCTTCTCAAAGGCCCACCCCAATCCCCTCTTCCTTGCTTGCATTCCCCCACCCCGCCCACCCCAACAACGTGGCCCAACCCGATAAGATTCTATAAAAAGAAACACCGCAGTTCGTGATTAAGACCCAAGGAGATTAAAAGTAGTTCTAAACTCCTTGTTAAGACCACAGTCGGCGGCCATATTTGCTCCCCACCTCGGCGTGCTGCTCGTGGTGCCGCGAAGAGAGAGAGGAGTGAGGAGGCTCCGTTAGTTCAGAAATTACAACTTCCAAATCCAATACGTGGAAGTCTTATTGCCAGTAGTTCTAGCAGTCGTGTAAAAAAGGGGGATCTGGTGAGTAGTTATTAATAATTATTTATTAGTTAAACTTATTATGTTTCAAGTACACGTAGTTATTAATTAATAAATGAGCATTAGATTGTTCATGCTGTTCTGCAATAATTATTATAATTAGTGGCTGTGTGTTGTTTTGCCATGGATGTGAACGTGGGTGTGCATGTGTGCAAGATTATTTTCTTTTTGTTGAAGGGAGAGCGAGAGAGAGAGAGGGAGAGAGAGAAAGAAAGGGAGAGAGAGAGAGAGAGAGAGAGAGAGAGAGAGAGAGAGAGAGAGAGAGAGAGAAGGATCCCTATATTATGTTAGTGCTCGTATTTTTCTATAATTGTGAAGAGCACTGGGGACTTTCTTGGTGTTGCAAGTGAAACTGATGATGATGTTGATGATGATAATCTTGACAATATTTACGATCTTTGATTCTCGTAATATTTACAACTTCTTTGATAAGCATCGAAGACGTTAGCTATAACAGTTTCAAATACAACCAGTCGTACAAGTTAATAAACAAAGTTCTAACTGCATGATCATACAAAGGTAGAAAGTACAGACTTCAAAGGGAGGGGATTTATAATTAAGTGGTCTTGAATTAATTAATTCACCTTTCATTTAAGGGTTCCGGGTTCGAATCCGAATAGCGACGAAAAATTGTATTGTCTAAAATTTTAACTCCTTTCGCATAGCTTTTTTGCTCTCACCAATGTTCTGTCGTCTGCTTTCGTGCTTAAACTGCTCCCACCCCTCACCTCCATTATGTCCTCCTCTGGGCTCCCAAGCTGACTCTTTAAATTCTGCAGCCTTTCCACTGTCTGCTGTCTTTCACCTACACCCCTAATCTACGGGTAGGTAAGATCTAGATCTACATCTAGCCTTCTTGGAGAGCGGCGAAAAATCTCGGAGGTCCCGAGTGCAAGTTGCGCACGTTAGAGATCCCTTTGTGGTCTAAAATCGAGTAGAGTCTAGGCTTCGGCCGCCACGAAGTCAAAATTCAAAATTTCCTACCAAATGAAAATGTTTAATGTGTCCCACGCGCTCGTATGACGTTATGCCGTTGCGAGCGCCGTAAAACACTGACTTAGGCTACCAAAAAATAAAAAATAAATAAATAAAATCACCCCTTATATTCTGTTTAGCCTAAATCGGACATAAATTAACGTGGTGTCTAAACCCGAGCAAAGATCGTTTGTACAATCTTTGACCCGACCCAATGATAGTACATAACAAGATGGGCCACTTCTCTCTTTGAGCCACAGAATTCTGTGCTTTGAGCCAATTAAAAAAGTGTCCTCAAAATTTGGTGGCGCCCTCTTCACAAAAGCGCACTCTTTGCCAACAGAGTTACCCTACTTGAGTTTTTAAAAATCAAAGTGAAACTAGCATGTTTTGGGATAAATTTCGGAAGAACGCTTTTTTTTAATGGTTACGCTGACAAAAAACCTTTTCCGGAGGAAAGGATGATGGTTTTCTTCGATTAATTTGACTTTAGAATGAAAGGCGAGAGGTCATTAAAATTTTAAAAAACCTAAAACTACGCACTGAACGTACCCGAACTGCTGATGAACAGCAGTCGATCTGCGCACGCAAGGAGGTGCTATTCCTATTCTTCTTCTGGAAAAACGAAAGAGAGCTTCAAAACAGACTGCAGCGCCATCTGAAGCAAAGAGCATACTTCCTGCGGACACTTTTTTGGCTGAGTGAACCATCTTGTTATGTACTATCATTGCCCGACCAAAGACTGTCGTATTTGGTATCGAATCTACAGCTGTGGTGAATTTAAAGTCTTGCGGGTCCTGGTCTATTTTCGATCATATTTTTGCTTCGCGGATTCATTTGAACTTCGCGGATCACCTGCACTCCGCGGAAAGCCCCTGCTCTGTTGTGACAAAAGCAGCTAATATTAGATTCTGTGCTAAATAACTAATGTAATGCTTTCGCGTGAGAAATACGCGTTGGGACTTGCTTCTGGTTATAAAGGTCGGTGAGGAGCAGGGTTGGCACAGTTGAAGCAAGCTCCCAACTTGAACCACATCGGATAAAACAAGACAACTACATGTAATTATTAAATTATCTTTCATCATTATTATAAGCAATACCTAGATCTACTTTTATTAATACCTATTAATAAAGGAGGCAATATTATAATGGGACAATTTCAGTTCCTCGTCTGCTTCATTCCTGATTCTGTAATCAACCATATTTGATATTTATTGCCCATTAAATTATTTGCAGTAGGCCTAGGATAATCCCAGATGAAGATCATGTTGGGATTTCCAGTCTTCAGCACCCTCCCCCACCCCCCCCCCACCCCCTCCTCCAGGTTTAAAGTTAGACCTATTTAATTCATAATGCTGACCTGATCAACACTTTTGTTCAGGGATCCTTTTGATTTTTATGAATTTGATTATGTTGCTCTGCATTTTTATGGCCCTCTAGATTCTATAAAAAATTTCCTTCTCACATTCATCTAGGAAACTCTGTATGTTTCTATAAATTAAAAAACAAAAATAAATGATTAATTAATTAAGGCTCTTTCTTTCATGTAATGTATGTGAAGAATATGTGTTTGACTATCTTTTTCCTTTAGAAAAGTCAGTATGGCTGCCCAGATAGTGTCTAAGAAGAAATGTGAGTACTGGGACAAATGCTACAGGAAGAACAAGAAACACAGAGAGGAGTTTTTGCATCCAGAGGCCGATGAGAAAACGGAGACGAAGGCAGAAGCAAAGCCAGTGAGTTTTGACCAAATAAGCTACTAAATGATGTACTTTTGTTCTTGTTTGGGTACTATATATATGATGCAAGATTCTATATTGATCTATATATGATGCAAGATAACTATCGTGTAAATTTTTAACAAGTGGTCATCTTAGAAGTGCCTACACGTGGTTCTCTTGGATAGTATGTCGTCATAATAGAAAAACCAAAGGGGAAATCAGTTAGTACTGTGCTCGTTTGTACAGGTGATTTATGTCTCGGACAGGTGGTCATTAGAGCAGGTTTCTACTGTAGGACCTACATATATCTTGGCAACATATTTTGTATACATGGTTGCATAAAAAAAAATTATGTGCCATAGCTTGCAATGGAATGGAATTTCAGGGGTTGGGGAATGGGGGTTGAATCGAATTCTCTTATAATTGCTGTACATGTACCTTCGATCTCAAAATCACACAAGTTTTATAATCTAAAAGTCTACGTATGGCTTTTGTATTCAACCAACATACTTTTTGGTATCTAAATTTGCTGACTTGCTGACTGTTGCACATCGTAATTCTAATACCATATATATTATTATTATCTTATGGTCACACTTGATTTTTGTAACACAGTATATCTGTTTTCGTTTGTTTTGTTGTTTTTTTGTTGCTGTTTTGTTGATTTTGTGATTTTTGGGTTTCTTTGTTTTCTTTGGTTTTGTTTTGTTTGGGTTTTTTGTAAATGTCTGTACAAGAAAAAGAGTTTGGAATTGATACTGATGATTCGACTTGTTTCATATCATATCTATTGTTTTAATTTAAAAAAGCTGTTATGTGTAACTCAGAACAGCACAACTTTTTTTTCTTTTCAGACATGCACTCAATTATGTGGGGTTTTTGTTCTTTTTTTCTGTATACAAAAATAATTATAACAGAAATTTGGCTTCATATCTTAGTCTGGCTTCTTATATATCACTAATATATTTATTGATCACTTTTTGTTCCCTTAGAACCGTCTGACTCATGACATCAGTGTAGATGAAAATGAAGCCATGCCATCCTGGAGAGCTGGTGCAAAAAGAAAACAGAATGATAATGACGAAGGAGCAACGCCATCACCAGCTGGTGTCAAGAGCAAACAAAATGATGATATCAGTGAAGCTTCTCCTTCCCCTAAAAAAGTGGTCAAGTTTGATGATAGTGATGAAGAAAAAATCACCGTAGACTACAGCAAGGCAAAAACCAAGGGCACAAACAAGGCTGCTGCAGGGGGCAATGATGTTACGGGTGATGCAAAAAAAGATGATGACAGTGCTGCCAGTTCTTCAAAGACAATAGCTGCGCCAGAGGTCATCAAGTACAAGGCTAAGAAAGAAAAGTGCAAATATGGAGACAAATGTTATCAAACTGGTGCAGCTCACAGGGCAGAGTTTGCGCATTCTGGTGATGATGGTCCTGATGAGGGTGAGGCTCTTTACTTAATTGGGTTTTTTTTTTCATATATCGCAAACTCCGGGTTACAAAATTCTATGGGATACTTTGGCTGTTTTGAGTTATTAAGACCGTGAAATGAACAACCAAAAGCTCTGTACGCGCTAGTAAAATCGTGAAATTATTTTCAGTTGTTATCAAAATATTAAAAGAACTGCATGAGAAAAAACCTTGACATGATGTGAAACTCAAAATTTTTTATGCCAAATTTCTGAAAACTAGATACTTAGTTGATAGAACTGTATTCTGAGGAAGTGATTCATCTCTCACAACTTCCCTGCCAATAGTGATATAGTGTATCCTTGTCTGAGTGCAACTGAAAGAGCAACAAATTTCATGTCAGATGGAAACCTTTATGAATATGATTTCTTTTCTTGTGATTGCTAGTATTGTTTGCAGTCAGGTATTCATTTGTGTTTGTTTTTCATTGAACTTAGGAATCAGTATTTATTGTAATGTTCCTGTTCTTCAAAGTGTTGAATTATGGTGATTTCTTGACCTTCACTTAGTTTGAACTATAAAATATCATTGAAAAGATAAACACTTACCCTACATAAATTTAATAAGCTTTCTGTCTAAGTTTATCTTAAATGTAATTTCTTTCCCTGTCATTGGCCTAAAGAGATAATTTAAAGAATAATACATTTTATGCACTGAAGAAGAGACAATCAGATGCTTAAATATTGGACTGATTAAATTTGAATTCTACTTTTTCTGTTTATGTGCAGGGACAATTTGAAGTGTTTGTAACTGTTGTGGGGTAAAATGATCCTCATCGAAAGATGAAATAAGTAGCCTATATATATATATATGAAGTAACGCCATGTTTTGTTCATGCAGAATCTATTGAGAACAAAAAGACTCGAGGGCAAACAAAAGAATCTGTAAACCCACTAGAGGATGGGGGTGTGGTGGAATTTGACTCTGGATACAAATTGAAAAGAGATGGGGAGGTGTACTCTTGCTCGTAAGTTTGCATGGATATATATTATATTAGTTTTGTGAGAGAGAGCTAGAGAGAGAGAGAGAGATAGCTAGAGAGAGAGAAAGAGAGAGAGAGAGAGAGAGAAAGAGAGAGAGAGAGAAAATGTGTGTGTCTGTGTGTGTATTTTGTGCTTATGTGAATTCATGTAATATGCTGTCATGAACCCAAACACAGAAAGCTTTTAGTGTCAAACTGTGAACAATCGAATGAAAATTGTGTTAACGTATGTGCATATTTTGTGTTTAGGTACATTTATATCGTTATAAATTCTTTCTCTGGAGATATCAGCTCGATTAACAGTAGTTCTGTGTAAGTGCAACTTAGTCATTACTTTGAGCTGCGAATTAACCTGTTCAGTCAGAATTGCAATCATAATGAGGATGTTTCCTGTTAAAGAAAATTAACGCAAAATGGAAATCATAATTTTCATTAATGTATTTTGAACAGTTGCAAAGGTTTCTTGGTGCAACGGGCTCCTCTGAATGAGAGAACATGCAAGCATCTGAAGGAATATCTCGGTGGGGACTTTGAGAAAAAAAGAGTTGAGCAGAACACAAAACCCAAGAAGACCCACATCAGCTCACATATCAACGTTAGTGTGTTGCTGGCTCACAAATACGAGGACAAGTGAGTAGCTTTATTTATATGTATATTCAGTTTTCCTAAGCATGTCTGAGTTTAGTTTTCTCTGTGTGTGTGTGTGTGTGTGTGTGTGTGTGTGTGTGTGTGTGTGTGTGTGTGTGTGTGTGTGTGTGTGAGAGAGAGAGAGTGTGTGTGTGTGTGTGTGTGTGTGTGAATGTGTGTGTGTGTGTGAATGTGTGTGTGTGTGTGTCTGTGTGTGTTTGTGTGTGTGTCTGTGTGTGTTTGTGTGTGTGTGTGCATTCACTAAGGTCTGAAACAAGGGCGAATGTGGAAAGCCCCATCATATTTTTTTCTTTTGTTGTTGTGCCTCTTTAGTCTTAGTAAGAGTATTCTTTTTCCTATGCTACGACATAAATTTTGTGTGTGTGTATTTTTTGGCATAGTCAATTAATTATAGTTGAATTTGTTTCTTGTTGATTGGTTGTCATGAATTTGGTTTTTTGACTGTTTCAGAACAAATCCTGTTGGCTGGTGGATCAGTGAGAAATTGGATGGTGTACGGGCATTTTGGAATGGAAGGTTAGCACTGAGATTTATTTTTAGTTTTCTTACTGTCTCAATGAATGTTGGTTATACCATGGAAAAATGGGGTTGGAGGAAATAGAGAGAGAGAGAGGAAGTGAGAAGAGAAAGAGGGAGGGGTAGGGAGGGGCTGTGGTGTGGAGGGAGTGAAAGGATCACTTTTGGAACTATGTTCTTTGTATTGCTGAAGAGAGCATATTGAGCACTTTTATAGTGAAAATACACTATAAATTATGTAATTTTAAATTATTATTCTTTGCAGCATTTGATGATTAGGAATTTGGTTCTTATACCATATTTTTGGCTTTTTGTTGTATTGAAAGTTCATTACTATTTACATTATATGTATTCTTCAAGTTCCTGGTGTCTGTGGTTTACAAAGGTTGGTTGCCTGCCTTTAATACGACTTAAATTGTGTCGAGGATTTTGAAAAGAAAAGAAATATTCTTCAATTTTAATATAATTCTAAGAGATTTAAAATGTGACAAATCTTCTCCACCTTAGTGCAGAGAACTTTGCTTAAGATGATGTCAAAAGGTCACTGAAATACAACTTTTTAAAATACCGGTATCTTTTAAAATATCATAATGTGGTCTGGAGATTCAAAAAATGCATCATCATACATTTAAACGTAAAAATCATTTTATGGGAGTTCATATTAAGCCAAGCCCATTATGTATTATAAATGAGTACATAGTATTACTTTTCCAAAACGTTTGACTCAGCAGTTGATTATTCTTTGTTATTTTTAACAGGTGTTTTTACTCCAGGCTTGGGAATGCTTTCTATGCCCCAGAATGGTTTACTAAGGTAAGTACATCTAGAGGCAAAAATATATATTGTCATGTAGGCATTTGTCCTTGATGACAGTGTACTTGTCAAAGGGAGCTTGACTTTTGTTATGAACTTTTTAGTTATGGCACCGTAGCAATGGGAGATATTTTCTGCTTTTGAAGTGCAATTAGACCTAATTTTAAGTTATTTGCGCTTCTTGATGACTTTTAAGTTATCCAGATTTGAAACTTTACAGGGGATTTTTTATTTTCATTCTCTGACTGTTAAGCGTCGAGGGTTAAGCATGATGGGTTAGGTGAAAAAAATTACAACTTTCAGAAAGAGTAGAAAAACTGTATAGTTTTGAAAATGATTCATTTCAGGACTTGCCTACAGATATGACTTTGGACGGGGAACTCTTTGGAGGGCGAGGCCAATTCCAGTCTACTGTCAGCATTGTGAAGACTGCTGAAAGCCCGAAATGGAAGGATATAAAATACCATGTAAGTATTTATGAAAGAGTCATATACAAATGTGTTTTTATGAATTGTTTAAAAACTTATCTGAGCACTGTTTTTTCTCTTCTTAAATTGACTGTTGGTAATTATAGAGTTGCACATTTCATTGCATTTTTTCATATTGTCAAGGCTTAGGCAAGGGCTATTAAATCAGCTAATAATGACTGATATGAGAACTTTTGAATCTAATGTGTTGTGTGGGTTACTCCACTGGCCTATTCAGATGTTCTGTTAATGCTGCAGAACTGAATAATGAAAAGAAAATCGACAAATGATTTGTTGTTAATCTTTTTGGTGTACTCATGCACATATCATTTCATCTTACATGTTCGAAAAAATGTTTGTTTTACTGATTTAAAAATTTATAAAAATTTCTGCTTTACTTAAGTTTCAAGGTATAATTTTAATTTGGAGTTGTTGCAATGTATGTAAAATAGTAGCACTGGCATCGTTAGTGCAATCGTAGGTTCATCATTGCATGTCAATTTATCTATAAATAGAGATGAAAACTGAGTTCTGTCTGTTTGTTTAATTGCAACAGGTGTTTGACTCTCCTGACATGGGCAAGGAAACCTTTGAAAACAGAATGAACGCGATCAAGGAGTATTTTGAGGAGAAACAGTAAGTTAGTTTTAGCTATTTTTCTATCTGAATTTGATTGCTGGAATATTAAAGAATCTTTGGAAAGGGAGGTCTAAAAGTAATCTCCACTTTGTGTGTGGTGAAATTTCTAAAATCCATATCCCTTGACTATATATAGCGATGATATACACATATTAGTCAGACATCAAAGAATAAATTCAACTAATTATTTATTATTATAAGCACATGGTAACAACCATGGTAAATAAGCAAACATCTGCCATAGGATAGTTTCATCAAATTTCGAAAGCTATCTTCTCTCTTAGTTTTTTTATGTTGGCTTTCATTTTTAGCAAGTACAAACTACAACACATATGCAATGAAGAAATAACGCCAGATTTTTAATATTATGGTTGTGAAAATAAGTATGGACTCCGAAAATATGTACATGGATAAATAGCAAAAAAATCTCAAAATTCCCAACAAAAACACTGATTGTAATTTTGTTTTCTCATTATGTTAAAAAAGGGCTCTATTTCAGTACAAGTCACCTATGAATGTACATTGTGTAAAATAATGAAACTATTCAGATGAAAAATACAGGAGAAGATGTAATTTAAAGTCGGAAAAAAATAATATTTGAAAGAAATGAAGAAAATATTTTAAAACTTGACCCAAAATTGCAAATTATTTTTTAAAAACCCATTTTTAAATGACTTCGAAACATAATTGATTGAAGCAAACGCTCAAAACTTTCATGGAAATGGAGAGAGAGAGTGATGTAGGTTTAAAAAAAGGAGGGGGAAAATGTATGGTCAAACTGGGTGAAAATGGGGAAGGGAAAATCTCACCCGCAGATGGCCTTAAAATATGTGGTGCATTTTTGTTAAGTTTGAACACATTCATTTTAAGAAGATATAAAAAATATATAGTTTTTAAATGGCGTACTTCAAAGCTGAGAAATCAGATATCACTGCTCTATTTCAAGCATTTGGAAAATTTTAACAGTTAAAGAATAATCTCCCTTCTTTAGTTCACATTTTTTTCAAAATACACAATGTGCCTTTTAAACATCATTTTTTTTTTTTTTTTTCAGACCAGAGTATGCCGTATTTGTAGAGCAAGTGAAATGCAAGAGCAAAGATCAGTTAGAGGGGAAGCTGACAAGAGTCCTTAACTTGGGTGGTGAGGGACTTATGATCAGACAGCCCAAGTCTGTGTACGAGAGAACAAGATCGAAGACATTGTTGAAAATAAAGAAGTTCTATGATGCTGAGGTATGTTTAGATTGTCTTCCTGATTCAGGGTGGGCTTTTATAGGGTTCTACAATTTGTCTTAACCTTTTTCCTCTTTTTGACTCGTTAGAAAATGTTTTGTTTCACTTTCAACTGTTGTTAAATGCTTTCTATTCTTTGTGAATATTTTTGGTTTCTCTCCTTTGTTTTTGCTTTCATTGAGTTTGATCAGTGCTTTCCAAATGTTCATCTTTTCTCTTTTTTTATGTCATACAATGTGGGCTATATAGGCCTATATTTTATCACCTTTTTGCTTTATTTTAGAAGAGATGATATTATTTAAAGTTAATGGAGAAATCAGGATTTTTTAAACTTGTTAAACTAATTAGACATATAATTAGTAATATGTATCTTCTTATAAATATGTTACAGGCTATTGTGATTGGTCATGAGAAAGGGAAGGGAGTCAACCAACATCGATGTGGAGCTTTGCGGTGTCGTATGGCATGTGGGAAAGAGTTCTCCGTTGGCTCTGGGTAAGGATTTCATGACACCTTGTCTTGATAGTGAACTCAATGGTTAATAAATAGGGGCCTACATTTTTTGCCCTAATTGAAAGTAAATGGTATTTGTTGTCACAGTGAGTGACAAAAAGGAAGAACTCAAATGGCAAAATTAATTTTAGTAATGTTAACAGTTTCTTAAGACACCGTAAAAGAATGTGTTGTGACCTTTTAGAATCTTGCAGTTTTCAGATTTGCATGTCATAAGTAGATTGAATCAAATTGTAATTCCATATCATTTGGTATTTAACAGTGCAGAAGATGAGATTTTTTTGTATTTAAGACAACAATGTTTGATGAACCTTAACCTTTGGTTTTAAAATTATAAGCATTTTAAATAATTCTCGAATTTATATTTTCATGCAGCCTCACGGACAAGGACCGTAATCGTCCACCCAAGATTGGCACAATCATCACGTACAAATTTCAGGAGCTCAGTAAAAGTGGCTCCCCGAGGTTCCCTACTTATGTTGGTAAGACAGTGATTTAATCTATTGAACTTGTAACCTAAATTAATCAAAAACTTATTTGCAAGGCTCAGAGCCTGAGCTTTTTTATTAGTTTTAAAATATCTGTTCTAAAACTAAGAGGATTTCCAGTTCAAGCAGTTACACTTTATTCTGTACCTGAGTGCTGAATGCACATAGATAACTTTTCTGCTAAAGTTTATATGATGTCATCATGTGCAACTGCCAAAGCAGAATAGTTATGTCATATCTATAAAATATAGTTTGTTGGGGTTTTTTTTACTCTCATATTATTACTATATATTGTTACACTTTTGTGGAGTTTAAGCAGATTAGTATGAGCACCTGAGAGTCTAAACATACCAGTTCACCCATGTCTAATCTAACAGAAACATTTTTGACATCTTGACATTAAGTGTTTACAGCACTAAACTTATAATTATTATTACTGTTAAATGTCAGGCTGTTGGATGTTCTGTAAAGTATCTGTTCTAAATATCTTTGACTGAATAGCCTTGTTGTTGGGAATGAAGGAATGACGATGGTTACAGGTCCAAGATATTCTGGTTGTTTTTCTGACTATATATCCTTCTGTTTCTCAGGTATCCGCATTGACATGACAGAACCCAAAGACGCTGAAATCAGACCTGTGCTTGATGAGGATGAGGCGTAGATTCAAGATAATTTGCTGTATTAAAAAATGTTATAAGTCAAGAAAATTGAGATAATTCCAGATCTCAAGGAAGTATGGATTTTTATGCCATACCTTATAAAAACTGTGAGATCAAAGTGAGAGCAGTAGCGATGCCTTGTTTAGAACATTTGTGATAATTTAAGAGATTTTTTTTCTCTCTGTCCCTCTTTTCTTACTCTTTGCAATGAAGGACAATGTGGAAATAAGGACTGACCTCTATTGGCAGCTTTTAATGGATGTTGTTTTAGATGATTTATATTCTGTGATTATGTTGCTCTGTATTTTGTAAGTTTGTTTTATTGAAATGTGGCACGACGAGGTGAAATCAGGCTCTCGTCAATTTTGGGGCGTACGGAGTTGATTGTATCATCTTAAGGCCTGTCCATTTTTCTCGTTTTGGGTGAAAATAATGTCCATCTATGTTGAATAGAAGTCAAGATATGTGTGATTGAAGGAGGATAGGGTAAGGTGGTTTCAGAGGAAAAATTAGCGAGAAAATGGCCGCCAAGGCTGAGTTATTTCTTTAGCTTGAGAGTCTGTGGATTTCACCACGCTGCCTCACAAATGTGCTATTGTTTTTTTGGGTTTTTTTGCTTCTCCTTCAGGAAATTAGTTGGGATGATTTCATCAATCAATCTTGAAGTATGAGTGATATTGTGATCTGAGAGAAGGAGAATGACTGTGACTGGTGATTTCCTTTCATTAAGAACTTTGATATCAAAACAATTTTACAATTTTCTACTTCATTCCTCTTCTTTTGGTATTCAAATAGTTCCTTGTGTTTTACATTTTTAGCACCATTTTAGAATTTTTGCTTTTGAACACTGAAAGATTTTAATTTGTAAAATTTTGGTGTAGATTGCCAAAGCTAGTATTGATACATCAATAACAATGCAATACAACTTAAACGCAAACTTTTACCATATATATATATCTATTGTGCGATTGCATGTTTAATTTAAACTTTAGTATAATGTATACAAAATGAAAGTATCTATTTATTTTCAATATCATTGTATGTACAATAGTCTCCGCCTAAACGCACAGTGCTCGGGAGGGCTCCTTAGCGTGTGTTTATATGGAGCGTGCATTTACATGAACCTTTGCAAACAGTTCAGCCCCCCCACCCCCCTCCCCCCCCCATTCATCGACCAGCCAGAGACCTAGACCTATGTGTCTGAGGAAAGTTGGGTCAGAAAATGCTGTCCATCGCTCTCTTTGTTCGGCGTGAGGGGCAGTCTCACCAAATATCCGGTATCTAGGCTTTTCTTATGCAAGCTGCGCAGCTTGTAGTGGAAATTCCCCTTTGTCAAGTTTTACCTGTCGGCGGGTTTTGCGGATTGGAGCGTGCGTTTAGAGGGAGTGACTGTGCGTTTGTACGTCTAACTTATATAGTAAAAAAACCTGTCAGATGACAAAAGTGTGCGTTTGAGCGGAGCGTGCTTTTGTATGGCATGCGTTTAGGCGGAGACTACTGTACACTGAAAGCAGATGAATTATCAAGGGTGTAAAGCCTACTTTTTTGTAGGAACTTGCGCTTTGTAACTGCAGTCTATTATTATTATATAATTATACACTCTCCTCTCTTGAAAATAGATGCAATACTGGATTTATCTTAATTATGTGGAAACATGTGTCCACAACTGGTCTGTAATTCAAACCAAAACCTGTGAGACTTTGTGCCTTTGTGTGGAGTGCCATCTGCAGAGATACCTTTTTTAAATCTCAGCTTCAAAAGACATGAATTTTGTTTTCATAATATTTATACACTATTTTTGTTGCGTGGTCATGCAACATTGTTTGTGATTTTATATTAGTGTGCAATTTTAGATGTATTTTGTATTACTTATCAATCTGCTTCATGTGATATGTATATATTGTATAGACCGTAAAAGTGATGCATTTGTGCTTGTAGTGTAGTTTATCGCTAATTTATTTTGAAAAATACTATATAATATGTGTTAGTTTTAAGTTTATGTTTATATTATATGTGAGGCAGTGTGGTGGAATCAGGCTCTCGTCAAAATAATTAAAGTGAAGAAACTTGCATTTTTCCGCAGTTTGTGAATTTTTATTAAATTTTTGTTTTTTGGCTCAATACCTTTCATGCCCATTAAAGAACTCATTTCTGTGTGAATTTTTCTGAAAAACGTTGTATAAAGCAACAAAAAATGTTACCACGGACTCTTAAGCTAAGGAAATAACTAATCTTTGGCGGCCATTTTCTCACTAATTTTACCTCTGAAAACAAGTGACCTCCACCTCCTTCTTTCGTAAATATCTGAACTTGTATTCAAGATAAATGGATATTTTTTTCATCCGAATAAAGACAAGTGAACAAGCTTTAAGATGATTTCAATAACTCTACATGCCCCAAAACCGACGAGAGCCTGATTTCACCTTATACATATAATATAATTTATATATACACTTACAGGAGCTGTGATACTTATTTTTTGTTTTATTTATTGCATCTATAGATTTTTAATTGCTAATGGAGGGGAACATTTTTTTAACCCGAACTCATAGTGAAAGACTCTGCTGTGTGGAGACGAGCATGTGCTTGTTTGTGTGTTGTTTTTTTAATCTGTTAGTTGTTGTTTCTTTATGTGTACACCATCTTAATGTTTTTCTTTTATTACAGTGACTGTTTTAAAAATATTTATGCAGTATAATATGGATAGCTCGAATTGGTCGGGACCGGCCTCAGTAGTTCGAGGGATCAGTTAAGTTTGAGGGACAGCTTACAAAGATAAAGAAGAAAAAAAAAATTACTGCAGGCACAGTTCGGTGGATGCGTGATTTTGAGTCTTCATTCTGTGTTCGACCTATCTATGTTATACTGTATACCATTATCGTTTAACATATTTCCAGAAAAGATAAATAAAGTGATACATTTGTATAAAATTATTATATTTATTTATCTTATTTTGTTCCCTCTTGATTCAGTAATTTGAACATTGGGATCAACATAAGCCTTGTAAATTCAGACTATACTGTTTGATGAGTATGTCACAAATATATTTTATTATTATGTGTCTAGTTGTACTAACTCACACATGAGATTTATGTAAGAGAGTAGCTGTTTGCCTGTGGGGCAAGTTCATGCTGAATGCAAATAAAAGATGACAAAGTCTCTTGATACAATTTTTCTGTGTTTGTTTGTGAGGTTATGGTTATGAGATATTATATTTTAGATGCAAAAAGTCCCTTTAAGTGCAGTTTAAGAGAAATAAGTTCTCTTGTCAGTCAAAATATGATGAGTTCTCAGGTGAGATTTTTTCAAAGTTGGGTTGCCTGTCATTCAATAAGAACCAATTATTCCAAGCGCCTCATCGGTGACCTTTCAATTCTTCGAGATCCCAATCAATGGAAAGCGCTTTTAAAGCAAGCAGAAGTAATACCCAACGTGGATTGCATAAAATGAAGAATGCACAAACAATGCCAGGTAGTGAAAATCTCAAACTACAGTAAAACCTGTGTAAGACGGCCACCCATTGTCAAGGAGAAAAGTGGCCGTATAAGACAGGTGGCCGTCTTAGGCAGGACTGATCAAGATGAAGAAAACAAACCATTCCCATCTGAGGTCCCAATCGAAAGTAGCCACATTGTTGTTTTTGTTGTTGTTGTTGGTTCGTATTTTGTTTGTAATTTTTATTTTGTTGATGATTTTGCACAAGGGTGACAATAAAATGAAATGTATCAAATGAGGAAGACCGAGTGCGATGTGAAAACAAACACATGGGTCGCCACCACTAGGAGAACGAGCGATGCTTCTGTCACAAGTTCATGTTGATGTCCATTGTTACTTTGTTGCAGACTAGATAAACAGTGGCCACTCATCTCACTTACCGCTTGTGTATGAGTTCTGGGCGGGGCTAATGGGTTATGAGGGATCACTCGCTTACCTCATCGGCAGCTGAAAATAGGTAGCTAATGGTCAACAGTGGGAGGGGCCTACGCAACATGATCGGTTGGAGGGACTACCTAACAACAATGACAGGTGATTGGATTATGATGGCTCACCCACTACGCCAGGGTTCAATGCATAGTTTATGACAAAACGTAATGGAGTCACTCAGGTGGCCGTCTAAGACAGGGGTTATTGTTTGATGTGATAAGGGTTGTGTGTTAAAATATGGTGGCCGCGGCCGCGTTGGACAGGTGCCCCTTTTACGCAGTTTAATTATATAGGAAAAACGCAAGGGGGGAAGTAGAAAGTGGCCGTTTGTACTGGTGGCCGTCTTATAGAGGTGGCCGTCAGGGCAGGTTTGACTGTAATTATATATATGGCCCCTCTTCTTCAGGCATCACACCACTTCTTTCAGCAAAATGGTGAGGCACAAATAACACACACAAAATATGCTATTCTTGACTGTTGGGAAGAACAATTTGATTCTGTTTTGATGTTAAATAATTAATTCAGAGTCAATTGAACCACTTTCACAGACACCAAAGCTGTACAACAGTTGTCCCTGGATAAGTCTCCTGCTGAAATATGATCTATGGTGGTGACTCGCTCACTCAGAGGCTGGTTGAGCTATTCAAAATTATGTTTGACAGTGAACTACTACCTCAGCACTTCAAAGACCCAACAATTGTGCATTTTTACAAAAACAAGATGGTAATCAGTACGCTGTGACAACCATCTTGACATTTTACTCCTCCGTGTTGCTCACAAGATTCTTCCCAGAATTCTTCTGAATCCTTTTTATTTTTTATTTCCCTGCAAATATTTACTGCCAGAAAGTCAATACATGAAATGTCGTGGCTTTCATGTAGAGATGGACTCAGTGGATGAGTATTTGCTTCTCAGCAAAAATACAAGAAAAATACAGTCAGCTATAAAAAGGTTTTACCAACTTAACCATTTTTGTTGTGGCTTATTAGGCACATAGAAATCTAAGCACACCGCTTTAGGAAAGGGAACGTGCTGCAATTTACGGTAAGTATATTGAGGCTTTTATGATCATTATATTATTATATATAGGCCTAATAATTATATATTTTTCCTTTATTACTAATTCCTCTCTTTACCATGTTACCACTGACTAGCAAGGATATAATAATAAAAACTTTTCGTTCTTGAAAAATTGCGGAGATGAAAAAGCTCATGTGGGTTTATTTGGGTATGTAAAAAAAACTTTAAAATGCAGTTAGTTCTTTCAATACAGTCTGAGCAATACAGATCTCGAATATGACTTTCAGTTCCTCAATTTTGATTTTAAAG